TGAAGAGGGTAATAGAAAATCTTGGATATGACATACTACATTTTGTGTTCTTTTTAATATGCAAAACTCTGTCTGACCTCATAACTATGGGTTGCCCCCAGGCCTGCCTAAAGTGCTGAACGTTAACTGTGATGTCAGCTTCATTGCCATGGTTGCCCTGTAAAGAATTATTATTATTATTGTGGCAAACCTAGCCACTTACAGAATGTCCTTGTATATATCTTGCTATTGCTGCATTGCTATTCCTATCTGTGGCCAAACCAGCCACTTAAAGTGTAACCCCCCATGAATGTAATATGATGTAAAGTGTATTCCTGTGTACTGCTTGGTATCTCCTAAGGCAGGAGATGGCTATCTGTAACCCAACCCCCTCCTGCCTGGGACTAAGAGAAGGGTATTGTGTGGAATGCAGACCCCCCTGCGGAGGGCTGTATTTAAAGAAAACTGTAATCATTAAAGAGTGTGTCTCAGCCTGGTGAGATGCCAGTGTTTTAACCTCCAAGCTATGTGTCGTCTAGTTCTTAGGAGAAAAGGATTGTAACTACGCTACCTGCATTTTACCTACATTTTACCTGCTTCATCCTGTCTACCAGCGAAGATACCGTGGATAATACCACTACTCCGCTACAATTATTATTATTAATAGATTTATGCTGATTGTGCATACTTGCATCTTTCAGTGCAGCCAAATTGATAACACATTCAAACCTAACTGACACCACTGTAGGCCTGTATACCTAGACTCAATAGGGACTTAGAGCCCTTTCATGGTTCTAGCCATCCCTATATGTGTTTTTAGTATTTATATGATCTGATATTAATGTAACATGTTTTGACTTGATCTTGATTTCTCCATTCTCCATATTTGACGTGATTATTTAGTTTAGTGGCCTCTGATATTCCAACCTAACAAGTTATTTGGACTGCATTTCATGCCATTTTGTTTTTCTTTGTTTCTCTATGTCTTTTTAGGCATTCTGTATCACCAGGCACTCTGAGTCACGGAGTACATAATTTTATCATTTTGTTAACATATCATGTCTTAGCTTTGTCTTATATTTGCATTTTAGGCATATTTGAGAAGTCTGAAGGCATCATAAACTACAAGACTGAAGGCTATTGGTATAGATGTCTCCAGAACCCCAAAACGGCATTATATATTGTATGTTTTCTGTGGATTTGACCCAATCTATACAATCCATATACTTGTTATAATATATGATGCCTGTATTATTGGATATCACATTAGAGGGTTACATTATATTGAACTGAAGCTCAAACCTTTTCCGTGTTTACCGCTTAGAAGCTGGATAAACAAATATTATATATTATGTGATTATCATTTCTGGTTTCTTTTATTTATTTTTTTCTTACCTTACTAACAAGCAGACACGTCTTCATCATATGCTAAGAGAAACCAAATCGAATGAAAAATATTTACTTAGGTAGCATGTCAGATTGATCAGGCTTGTTATTACTTTCCTCTAGAGAAATGCAAATTACGTAAATGTAAAATACATTTACATGTAACACTATCATTTACCAACAGCAAAACAATAATAATGCTAAGTCCTCACATAATAAACTATTTGTTACCCTACCATTATACACACTTGTACAAGCATACTCTACTTAAAGTTCGCTCTTATTAACCTCACTACTAACACATTATTTAAAAAATACTGCATTGTTTATTTGAAAGCTGGTATGCAGCGTTTGCTCTTTAACTTGGAACAAATCAGCAACGTCATGTATAAATCGCAGCTGAATACCAAAAAAGAAATGAATAATATACATGTACACTATTTGAAAGTAGAATAAAGTAAAACATCTTTACAACACAAGCATTATTAGCTGCTAGAAGCTCTGCGGTGTTTTAACCCTCAGTAGCCTTTAGAATACAACCATTAAGTGGGAGGCGCATGGTGAAAACTATTAATAGTCCCTATGTGAAGAAATCCTAAATAAACATAATTTGCAATAAAGGAAATGTAAACATTAGATTACTCTTTACAGGAAGTGGTTATGAAGTCTTTTTACATCACATGTAGAGAGGGGCATGTTCATCTGATCTAAAGTAGAGTTGGAGACAGTGGCGGATCCAGGGGGGGCAACGGGGCAGTTGCCCCCCCCCCCCGAGATTCTCCCCTGCCAGCTAATGCAGGGCTCGCATTCTCCAAGTGCCAGCCCTGCTTTGTGCCTGCGGACCGGGGAGGGAGATCAGAGATCAGAGATCTCCCTCCCCAGTCCACAGGCACTGTGCTGGCAGCCGGCGGGGGGAGGGAGAGGGAGAGGGAGAGGGAGGAGAGAGGACCCGGGAGCTCAGCCTGCAGCTCCTCCGGGTCCTCCTCTCGCAAGATTTGGAGCGTTGCCGCGGTTACCGGAACGCGGGCTAGAGTTCACCTCACCACCACTGGGACCACCAGGGAATCCCCGCTGGATCACCAGGGAACAAAATATGTCCCCCTCCTCCCAGTAAAGGTAAGTAGGGAGGGGGGACATAAATATATATATTTTATTAAATACATTTTTTTTTTATTATTAAAAAGCCTCCCTACCCTCCTCCATACAAACACAGGCCCCCATACACACTGCCCCCCATACACACTACACACACTGCCTTACAAACACTGTCCCCATACACACACTGCTCCACATACACTTCCCCCCATACACACACTACACACACTGCCCCACAAACACTGTCCCCATACACACACTGCCCCCCCAACACTCACTGCCCCCCCCCCATACACACACTGCCCCACATACACACACTTTTTTATGCTCACCTAATCATGCTGCTATGATCTTCACCCTATGGAGGTCAGCCTCCCTCCACAGGAAGCCCAGGCACATGTAGCCCTTTCACTCCACGAGTGGGGAACCCCTGGGAGCCATGGTGGGTAGTCCCCCTGGCATCTGGAGCCTGTGTTCGCCAGGATAAATAATCCAGACCTCGATCACATGATCATCCATCCGGTAAGACGCCCGCGCATGCGCAATGGCCACGGATGGATTTTCAGCATATTTGCCCTCATCCAAGATGGCAGAGCCGCGAACTTGTGGTCAATCGGCGCATACGCGCCTCCTTAAAGGCACAGAGCGGGAAATTTGAAAATGGCGTTTTTTCCTGAAATTATCTAGCGTTTTCAGTTCCTTTGGTCTTACACTGCTCTCTAAGTGCCTCATTCATTCTCTGCAGGTATGTTTTGTGCTTTAATTTACATTATAACACTGCTCAGCATTTATCAATGGAATTCAGTTGGGATAACCCTTCTAAGAGGATGGATCCAGCATCTCCTTCTGCAAAATCAGCAAGATCTGCAATAGGTCATAGGTGAGCATTAGAATTTTTTACCATTTCTTATGATTAAAAAGAGTGCATGGAGGGTACAGTCATATGACTTCTGTGTTTTACAGCCCTCAAGACCGGTCTGGCCCTAGATCTCCATCTAAGAGGGATAAACCGGCGGCCTGCCCTGGATGTGGTGCAAGGCTTTTGGATAACTGCAGGCTATGCCGCAAGTGCTTATCCATTGTCGCAGGAGAGTCGCAACTTCGCAGGTCACCTCAAGCCTCTACATCCTCGGCTCAGGATATAGCCTTTTGGATAAAGCAAGCTGTGGCGGAAGGGATTTCAGAATCCAATAGAGGTAAAAGACCCAGATGTGAGAGCTTTGGCCGAGAATCCGACTTCTCAGAAGAAGACTTCAGACGAACGGCTGGTTCCTTAGAATTAGAACCTATCTCTTCTAGTGAGGAAGAGCTCATGGAGCAACCGTGCTTGTTAGATGCTAAGTCCATGGAACATCTGATCATGGCAGTCAGAAAAACTTTGGATTTGCCGGAAGAAGTCAGAGAAGTTTCGACATCTGAGACCTCCACAAGAGGAGACCTTCCTTTCCAGTACACAGATCCATTAAGGAGTTGATACGCTCAGAATGGAATACTCCTGGGAAAAGGATTACAAGTCAGGGCAGATTGTCAAAATTGTACCCTATTAAGGAAGAGGATTCAAGAATGTGGACGGCGGTCCCTAAGATTGATGCTCCAATTATTAAAGTGGCAAAAAGATCAATTCTGCCTATTGACAGTAATGCTTCTCTCAAAGAACCCATGGATAAAAGAATAGATGCAGACCTTTCTAAGGTCTTCATGACAGCAGGCTTGGGATGTCATCCTGCAGTCTCTATCTCTGCTTTGTCCAGAGCATTGCGTTCATGGATCCTCGATTTGGAGGAGGATATAGAGAGAGGAGTGAGTAGACTCCACATGATGGACTCCTTAAGGGAGATTAAACTAGCCAGTGACTGGATGTTGGAATCCTCCACAGACCTCATCAGGATTTTTTCAAAGGTTATGGCACACTCCGTTACTGCCAGAAGGGCTCTGTGGTTGAGATCCTGGGGAGCTGATCTCTCTTCTAAGACTAATTTATGCACCCTACCATTCTTGAGCGCGGTGCTTTTTGGCAGACCGCTTGAAGAAGCCATTAAAAAAGCAGCTGGGGTCAAGACAGGCATCCGAAAAGACCACAACAGGACCATCATCCTTACAGGCCTCAAGAGGGATACAGGGATAGTAAAACCTATCGACCAGGCAGAGAATACTCTCAGCTCTCCAATTGGAAGAGTGGTCAAACCTCAGTCTTCCAGACCTAAGGCTCAAAATTCTTCCTTTCGCCCCACCAGACAGTTCTGAAGGTAGCTTAGGCCAGGTCCCTCATGTCGGAGCACGTCTTACGTTCTTCCAGAGGACCTGGAGTATGATTCCAGATGCCTGGGTAAAGTCCATTATCCCAACACATTATTCTCTGGAGTACGAAGAATTTTCCCCTCCACCAAGATTCATCAGAACAAGACTCCCTGTCGACAGACAAGAGAGACGTCTTGACTCATTATGTAACAAATCTATTACAAGAAAAGGTCATTGCTCCGGTACCAGTGACGGAAAGGTTCCAAGGGTTCTATTCTCCCCTGTTCTTGGTAAAGAAACCGGGAGGAAAGTGGAGACCTATTCTAGACCTACACCAGCTCAATTTCTTCTTAAGGGTAAGAAGGTTTCGCATGGAATCCATCCGTTCCATCATTCCCATGGTACACCACAGAGACTGGTTAATCTCAATAGATCTGAGAGACGCCTACTTCTATGTTCCTGTCACAGCCAGGCATCAGAAGTTTCTTCGATACTGTGTAAAAAAAGGAGCACTTCCAGTTTCAGGCTCTTCCCTTTGGGATAAGTACAGCCCAGAGGACTTTCTCGAAAGTGCTGGTCACAGTTATTACTTTCCTCAGAAGGAGGGATGTTGCCATCTACCACTACCTCGACGATATCCTGGTAGTGGCTTCAGACTTCGAGACGATGCTTCGACACAGACAGCTGGTCCTCGAGACTCTATCTCAGTTTGGATGGCTAATCAACCACGAGAAGAGTCATCTACAACCAACAAGGGAGCTGGTGATCTTCAATACCCTCACAGCAATAGTATCTCTTGCTTAAGAGGGAAGGTTGAAACTGCAGGATCGTGTTTGCACCTTTATTTGAAAGACGTCTGCTTCTGCAAGGGAGTTTATGAAGCTCCTAGGTACCTTGACCTCTATGATAGATCTGGTCAGATGGGTGAAATGGAACCTGCGTCCACTTCAGCAGTATCTCCTGAGGAACTTCAGAACCAGCTCAGAGGAATGGGAAAGACAGATCCACATTCCTCTCGATCTGAAAAGGAAGCTTCGGTGGTGGCTGAAAGAGGAAAACATTTCCAGAGGTTTTCCTCTAAAGGAAATCCGTACTGACTGGCATCACGACAGATGCCAGTCAGTACGGATGGGGAGCACATCTGGGAAAATCTTTCTTTCATCCAAGCAGAATGGCCTCAGAGGGCTCAGAACCTGCCTTCAAATATAAGGGAGTTAAGAGCGACATCTCTAGCTCTTCTCCACTTTCAGCACCAGATAAAGGGAGCCTGGGTAAAATTAAGAGTAAACAACAAGGCTGCTGCCGCCTACCTCAACCATCAAGGAGGCACCAGGAGTATCTCTCTGATGAAAGAAGTGACAGCAATCATGAACTTGGCACAAAAACATGTGGAAGGACTGTGTGCGGTCTTTCTCCCAGGGAAGGAGAATATGTTAGCAGACTTCCTCAGCAGACACCAGGTGGAAGCCACAGAATGGCATCTTTCAAGGCCTGTGTTTCAACAATTGGCCCAGAGGTGGGGTCTTCCCCAAGTGGATCTCATGGTGACGGCTCAGAATGCTCAAGTCCCTTGTTTTTGTATCCAGGAAATTCCATCCGAAAGCACTGGATCAAGATGCTCTTTCAATGAAATGGCCCTTTCATCTGGCATATGTTTTTTCCCCCCATTCCTCTCATTCATGCTGTGCTGAGGAAGATTTCCAGAGAACGTTGCAGAGTGATTACTGTAATCCCCTTCTGGCCGAGACGTCCTTGGTTTCCTCTTCTGAAGAGGTTGGCGATAGAGGAACCTTGGGAAATTCCGGTCACAGAAGATCTACTGACACAAGGCCCAGTGGTTCATCCAGAACCTTACAAGCTCAGGCTTCATGCATAGCTTCTGAAAGACAATCCTTAAAGGAACCGGGTTTATCGGACCAGGTGGTCTCTACCCTTTTATGTTCCAGAAAGATGTCAACTTCTTCTACCTACCACAAAATTTGGGAAGCCTTTGCGATATGGTTAAGTTCAACTGTGCAGAACATGAGTCCTCCTATGATCTCTCAAGTCTTGGGTTTCCTACAAGCTGGCCTGGAGAAGGGTCTTGGTCTTAACACCCTTAATGTGCACTGCTCAGCTATCTCTGCTCTTTCTGGCATTCGATGGGCGTTTCATCCTATGGTGCTTCGCTTTTTCAAGGCCGTTTTACGGATTAGACCTCATATTAGACAACTGACGGCTCCTTGGAATTTGCCTCTGGTGCTTCAGGCTCTCACAGATCCTCCCTTCGAACCTATGGCGAAATTCAGATGCACATCCTTTCTCTGAAGACCCTATTATTGCTTGCTCTAGTCTCAGCTAGAAGAATGTCTGACATCAGAGCTTTATCAGCCGAGGAGCCTTACACTTCCTTCTTCGATGATAGGGTCATTCTCCGTCCGGGACCTGAATTTCTTCCCAAGGTGGTTACACCTTTCCATCTCCAACAGGAGATTGCCGTGCCTGCCTATTTTTAGCATCCTTCTACTCCTGAGGAGTCAAGGTGTCACATGCTGGATCTTAGGAGATGTTTGCTGATGTATATTGAACGCTCAGCTGCTTGGAGAAAATCCTCTCAATTATTTATTATACCTTGGGGTTCTCGTAAAGGGGAAGCCGCTTCTGTCTCCGCTCTTCGTTCCTGGACAGTATCTGCGATTTCCAAGGCTTATAAAGCTAGGGATGTTCCTGTTTCCAAAGGCATCAGAGCTCATTCCATAAGATCCATTGCTACCTCATGGGCTGCAGAGTCAGGCGTTCATGCAGAGAGCATATGTAAGGCTGCAAATTGGTCATCCCTAAAGACCTTTGTGAAACACTACAAAGTGGATGTGGCTTCTCACTCGGATTTGGAGTTTGGCCTGTCTGTCCTGAACTCCTTTAATCCTCAGAGCTGATTTATTTATTAAACTATTTTGTAGCATGTATTTCCCTCCCTGTGTCATTATTGCTTGGGGAATCCCATATGTTAAATGCTGCCATGATTAGCCAGGAATATGGAAAATGTATTCATACTTACCGTAATTTTCTTTTCCTGGCTATTATTTATGGCCGCATTTGGTTTTCCCACCCTCTTTTGGATATTTGTCTTGTTACTTGACTGAGGTGTGATGGCTGATGGGGTTCCTATTATACCAGGGGAAGGTATGCTTAATTGTTTAATTGTTTGTGTTTCCTGTCCTGAGGGCTAGAGGGAGCAGCTAAACCCATATGTTAAATGCTTCCATGAATAATAGCCAGGAAAAGAAAATTACGGTAAGTATGAATACATTTTCCGTAATATGCAAGTCATTTGGCTGTTTGTTCATTTAAACCTCCGGTTGTTAAGCAATTGGCAGGGGCGGGCTGGGCCGGGGGGCAGGGAGGCAATTTCCCCCCAGGCCGCCCTAAATTCTTGTAAGGCCGGCCGCGGCGGGCCGGCCCTTTAAATACTGCAGCCGCCTGAGCGCTCTGTTAAGAGCCTCAGGCGGCTGCAGCTTCTCCCCTCCCCTCCCCTGTAGCGTGGCCGAGCTGCACTCCGGTCCGCTGTGGCCGGCCAGCCGGCCGGAGTGATAGGAGGGTGCACACTGAGTGTGCACTTCCTGTCAGTCCGGCCGGTTACAGGAAACAGAAACTCCTGTTCCGCGCGGAGTTTCTGTTTCCTGTTACCGACCGGACTGACAGGAAGTGCACAGTGAGTGTGCACCTTCCCATCACTCCGGCCGGCGGGCCACCGCGGACCGGAGTGCAGCTCGGCCACGCTACAGGGGAGGGGGTAAGAAGAGAGGGAGGAGGGGAGGGGGTAAGAAGAGAGGGAGGAGGGGAGGGGGTAAGAAGAGGGGGGAATAAGAAGGGGGGATAAGAAGAGGGGAGGGGAATAAGAAGAGGGGAGGGGAGGGGGAACAAGAAGAGGGAGGGGGATAAAAGGGGAATAAGAAGCAGGAGGAACAAGAAGAGGGGAGGGGTGGATAAAAAAGGGGAATAAGAAGAGGGGAGGGGAACAAGAAGAGGAGGGGGGAGAAGAAGAGGAGGGGGAGAAGAAGCTGAGGGGAGATGTGTGGGCTGAAAGAGGGTAAGAAGAAGAAGGGTGAGTAAGAAAAGATGGGTGGGAGTAAGAAGAAGAAGAGGAGGAGCAAGAAGAAGAGGAGGAGGCGAAAAAGAGGGGAGCAAGAAGAAGCAGCAGGGGAGCAAGAAGAGGGAGAGGGGAATAAGAAAAGGGAGGGCTGGAGTAAGAGGGAGAGGGAATAAGAAAGCGGGGAGGGCTGAGGAAGAAGGAGGGGAGATAAGAAAAGAGGGGGTAAGAAGAAGAAGAAGGTGAGTGGGCGAAAGAGGGGAATAAGAAGAAGAAGAGTGGGGAGTAAGAAGAAGAGGGGGTAAGAAGAAGGGGGAGTAAGAAGAAGAGGGGGAGTAAGAAGAAGAAGGGGGAGTAAGAGGAAGAAGAAGAAGGGGGTAAGAAGAAGAAGGGGAGTAAGAAGAACAGGTGGGGGAGTAAGAAGAACAGGTGGGGGAGTAAGACGACCAAGGGGGGAAGTATGAAGAACACAGGGAGGAGGGGGGTAAGACGAACACAGGGGGTGTGAGGAGAACACATAGAGGGAGGAGTGAGAAGAACACAGGGAGGGTGGAGGGGGGATGAGAAGAGCACAGGGAGGGTGGGTGAGTGTGAGAAGAGACCGCTAGGGGAGGGTGGGGGAGAGGAGAGACCACTAAGGTGCAGGGGAGAGCTCTACGGGACAGAAGGGGCAGCTCTATAGGACAGGGGCCAAGACAGGGAGCTCTTTCACACTACGCGCGTGCACACACACACAATGCATCCCTATACATACACAGAAACACAACATGCTTCCCTTACACACAGAGAAACACACAATGCATCCATTACACACACACACAATGCAACCCTTACACACAAAGACAATGCATCCTTTGCACACATACACAGAAACAGACAATGCAAACCCGTACACACACATGCAAACACACACACTTCTTTTCTTACATACACACAGAAACACAATGCATCTCTTACACTCAATGCACACACATACAGACACACACCTTGCATCCCTTATGCATACAAACACAGATTCACACAATGCATCCCTTACACACAACCAGAAACACATAATACATCCCTTATACACAAATACACACTGCTTCCACTACACACAAACACACTACATCACCTGCACAAACTGGTAACCCTATACACTACATACCATAAGCACACATATTAGATCCTCTACAATAACACATAACACATCCCCTACACACTCCACTCCCTGTGAGCGAACTCATGGGTGGGTGGAATTTATGAGTGGGCCTTATGGGCATACTCACCATCAGGCCCTGGGGCCCAGACCTTGAGCTGTGTAAGGGGCCCCAAAAAATGGAGCTGCTTCCAATTCTCCCAGAACATTGAATTTTGTGACCACAGTTGCAAACAGCCTCCAGAGATCCTGTTCTACACCAGACCAGTGGAGCCAAACTGCAGCCCATCATCATCCT